TGAATGTTAGGGCTTTTTTACTAGGTTGTCAGCTGTGGTTTCGGCTGCAGGGCAGAAAGTTCACTCTCTAATGATCAAGTGAATCGACCCATTTAGTTCAATAAGTCTGTGTTTCTTCTTGAACAAAAGTTGTATAATTTTGAGTCTATTTTACCTGGGAACAAGTCCCATAATTTAATGTTGGGTAAGTTTAAAGTTATGTCCAAGTAAGCGCATTGTGCTCGCTCAGTAAGCGCATTGTGCTCGCTCTAAAAATCCAAAAAATTTAGCGAGATTGGACCCTACTCTCTTCCCATCTTGAGATAGGCATGTGCATAAGTGAGATGTCACTCGCTGTACCTGACAAGTCTCTAAGACCATACTTATTAATATGACATACTTCTGATATGATTTGTGTGCATAAGAAGCGTGACTCTTGTCGATTAGGTGATATACCTCTTGGTAAAAATGTGTATGTGACATGCCATTATTTATGACATGCCTCTATTATGTAATATGTGTATGACAATATGTTTCTAATATGATTTAGATAAGACACTTGTGGCATGCTTTTGATAAGATATGTGTGCATGGAGATATGTTTCTGTTATATGATCTACTCATGGTAGCATGCTTTCGATAAAATATGTGTGCATGGAGATATGCTTCTGTTATATGATCTATGCATGGTAACATACTTCTAATAAGATATGTGTGCATGGAGACATGCTTCTGCAATAGGGTTGTGTGCGCGTGGTGGTGCTTCTCTCCTGATTGTGATAGTAGAGGCTCTACACATCAGAGGTGGGGCTTCTACTTCAGGAGTTAGTTGGTATCTCTTGATCTTTATTATGCTTATTACATGCATGCCTAAATGTTTTGGTCAGTTATGATGCTCATGCCTGAATGATTTGATCGACTTCGTATTACAATCGTATCGGATTAATCTGATTAGTTATTACTCCACCATGAAATAAATCATGCATGACACGTTTATTTAAATATGAATTTGACACATGATTCTATGTTTTGTAAGACTTGCATAAAACCCTGATTACTGTCATGACAGAATATTTGTAAGCATGAAAGCATGGCATCTAGACCTTAGTTACTGGGCTTTACAGCTCACTCTGTTAATGTTTCCTCCATGTAGAGTGATAGCCAGTCGTGATTAGAGTGGCGTGTCTTGGTGGTCGTGTTTGGGGTCCCTTACCCCCTTTCTGTTGAAGCTTTATTTTACAGTGTATATTTGGTTGACAATCTGGCCATATAGTCCATTTTGATTTGGTAATATGTTTTGATGTTGGGTCTTTTGTGCCTTGGATCTATTTGTACTATTTTGAACTGTTGCATGTATTTTGGGACTTGTTTGTCCAGCAAACTATGGTAATGTATATTGTGTTTTGTTTTTCGTTTCTTTTGTGGTTGGCTTGATATCAGAAACTCCTTCTTCTTCAAGGTGTTGAGCGCACTCCAACCAAAGTGGCACTCGCAACCTGTGGTCATGGCCCCACACCCTACGGTCCTCCTGCGGGCTCGGGCCCGGGGGGATGGCAAGGAGCGGGGTCGTGACAAGTAATGGGACTTTTCCTTTTGGTTTGCAATATTTAATTTCTTATTCACATAAAGCATTGTGTTGGTTTTATTCAATAAAAGAAAGTTGTAAATAGAGGCAGCAAGTGAGAACCGATTTATTTATTTATTATTTTCTTTTGAGTTGAAATAATTGTAATTGGACCATTGTAAGTGTTTTAGTCGGTGAGAACAAGAAAAATTAAAAATTGCATACACCATGCTAGATCACCTTTGTCCAACATTCAACAAACACATGTAACTACAACATCTCTATCCAAATTAGGTTTTTTCCTACAAGATGACCCACGTGAGAAGCAAAGAAACCTAACTAAGAAAACTCGTGACACAAAAGAGGAGTTCAAAGCGCTGTTCTTTCAAGGGTCCCTAAACCCTACCCAAGACATTAAATAAACACACTTCTAGTCCCCCCTAATGTAAAACCCGTACATAGATAAAATAAATTTTGAATTCACCCTTCTCTTGATTTTTATCAAGATTTGTGCCTTTAGAGAAGCTAAGATAGGTGGGGCAAGATTATTGAAGATATCAACTAGTTGATGTAGAAATATTAATGAAGTAGCACAAAGTATTGATGGACAAGATTAGACTTAAATAGGGCTGGAAATTCAATTGATTCAGTAAAAGTGAAGCACAAGATACTTCGATGGAGAAAAGTCTCTGACAATGCTAAAATTAGCAAAACCACTCACTTACATCCACTCTTCTGAATCGTAAGTTGTCATAAAACGCCAAACTACCCCTACTAATTAAGAAATTCCAAACATTTCTCAGAAGCTCCACACCACACCTAAACAATACTAAAAGACCCAAATATGCCCTTGTGAGAGTAATCGGTGAACAGTAATCATAACTAGTAATCCATGAATAGTAAATAAATAAATAAAACATAATTAAATATTGGAGATTACATCAACAGAACTGCATCAAATACTGTGATTGTTTGATTTCCAAGCTAAATAGCAATTTGGGCCCATCTGCAAATTTGTCACATGCAATTTATCCTCTAAGAGCATATAATTTTGAAATTTGAATTGATTCTCAGTGGCAATTTGGGCTCCCAAATTGAAATTTTTCGAAACCATTCCAAGTTCTGCAAAAAAATTCAAATTGACTCTCTCTCTCTCAACAAAAAAATCACCATTGCCACTACGAAAACACCACTACTCAACACCCGCTCCCAACTACCACTGCTTGACCACTATTACTCCACAGCCACCACCACAACTTGGCCACCACCACCCCACAATCACCACCACCCCCACAATCGCCTCATCACCACCACTACGCCGTGCCACAGCCATAACCACCATGACCTAGCCAATGTTTTAAACCCGATAAGGTCCGATGCGATAAGGTCAGGGTCCAATGCAACACGTCACCTCTAATGCGGTTAACAAATTTAATAATGTACAAAAAATACAAAAAATATAGTAATGTATAGAAAAATATATAAATGCCTTTGTATGATAGTGGTATTTAATTTATTCAATATCTATGATATACTAGCTTTTTGAGACTTCAAGTCACCTAATAGCCTGATAAAGAGTAATAAAGTTTGGTGTCTAACTTCTAATCTTCAATACTTTAAATGTCTAACATGATTAACATGTAAAAATAAAGCAATCCATTCCATCTCATATAAAATATCCAAAGTTTCAAACGCTAAATTTTAAACTCCGGAAAGGTAAAGATCAAAAGTTTATGACATGTAAAAGAAAAAGAGACTCTCAATCAGACGAGTCATCAATTACTTGAATTTATTTCTATTAATTCTCTTTATCTCATTTTCTTCTTATCCTTTTCTTTTCTTGGCTATCTTTGTATTCCCTAGTCTCTCTTCCAATCTCATTAGTTGCTTGTAGGCATGCTTTTACATTACCAGTATACCGGTTTAATTAGGGTAACAACTTTTCCCATGCTCATGGTCTGATATTCCACCCACAAGTACATGTAAGGCACATAGATCGTGATTCTATGCAACCGATGCGAGCGCATCATATTTTTTGCATATGCGGCCTTGACCAACACGGTCCTGGCTGCGTAATGCATTATGCCACTCCACAACCAACACTACAACCATGTGGCCCCCACTATTTTGCCTTACCTCTACCACCGCCACTGCCATCACCACCACCACCACCACCACCACCATAGCTCCACAACACCACCGCACCACCACCATTGTCACCGCCACTTAGCCACCGCCAAATACCACTCCACCACCGCCATTTCGCTGCCAGTACCATCATTTATGCCCAGCCTAGCACACACCACCACCATCACTCCACCACCACCACCACTGCATCCACTTCAACATAACTACTAGCACCAACATATCAGCACCACAACTAGACCATCGCCAACACATCAGCACCACAACTAGACCATTGCCAACACAACATCACCACCTTCACACAACAAACTAACAAATTATATAGTTCAAGTTGAAACAATTAAACACCCCTAGAGAGCAAAATGAGTATTGACAAAATTGCCACATGGTCAATCACAAATCCAGGAAAAAAACAAAAACTTTATGAAATAAATTGGTGCCTCTGGCATGTTCTTCAAAGCTAACTTCCTCTTGCATTTACCATCTAAAACTTAAGTACGAAATTCATACAAAAGTTTCACAAATGCATTATTTTAATAAACTCACGGAGCTCAAGCCTTTTGTTTTAAAACAATGTTCCATTAACCGAAAAGATTGAATACATCAAATTCAAAACTGCATGAATGCCACAAAGCACCAACAGATAAACATTTCCTAGTTCTCAACATGCACCCATTCTAGAAGCATTGCCTAGAGGTAATCCCGTGTAAAAGCATCCTCCTAGGGAAACCATAATGAAATCCTTCAATTTGAACAAGACAATATGCACAAAGGAAATTACCAAACGATCTCTAATACCCTACATTCTCTCCAAAAATAAGTCAATAAAGCTGCGTTGCGAAACACTAAATCTAATTGACACAACTAAAGGAAAATTCATCTGAAATAAATCATGCACCGACATCAAGAAAAATCTTTCTAGACCAGTATCCATCTTAAGAATCATCCTCGAAGCACCCCTAAGAATTTTCAGTGCCACAGCTGCACCACATCAATCAAATTCCAGCATAAACTGTGGTCTGTACAAAGGAAGATACCCTCTTTTCAAACAAACAAACTGAGTCTCCCTCTTTTCAAACAAACAGACAAACTGAGTCTCATTGAAAAGCATGGAACAACAGTAAAACACAGTAAAACGATTGGGCAACACCAATATGCCCATATGTACGTATATGCTTAGTCACCAAATGTTTGAACTAGAAGACATGCGTTTGAATCTCAAGTTACAATCAAATTAGAATTCTGGGAATTCATACAAGTGCTAGTGCAGGTGAGTGATGTATCAGAGTCGAATGAGTAAATTAAAACTTACCAATCTCGATATCAGAATCTGAAACCTCATCAGCATCAGGGAGATCTGTAAGAAAGCAACACTCCCCACTGGTGAGCGCTATAAAGAGATTCAAACCCCAAAAAGATGGAAGAGAGAGAGCGGGAGGGATTCATGTTGATCATCGAGGTTCAAATATACATGAAGTACATGAAGAAAAAAAGGGAAAAAGGAGTTAAGAGAGAGAGGAAGGCACCTTCGACATCGAGGGTTTCCTCGTGGAGAATGTCCTGGTCATCGAGAAAGACATCTCCGCCGTCGGCGTCCTCCTCCTCAATGTCTTTCCCATGCGCCCCACCATTCATCTTTTAAGTGGTCGAGCTCAGCTGAAACACCGCTCTCTCTCTGTCTCTAACAACACTCAATTTGGTGGAGAAATATGGGAGAAGAATGAATGGGCTGCTCGCTGAAACAGCCTCAGTGATTTTTTTTTGAGGAGGTTTTCTCTTTCTTCGCGTGTATCGCTCTCTGGGGGGTGTCCAATAGATATGGCGAAGTTCGAGTAGAACACTCGGCTCGCTATCACTCACTACTCGCTGCTCGTTACCACTCGCTGGCTCGCAGACCCTCGCTCCTCGAATCTTCGTCACTAAATTTCTAGGGCATAATAACAATATAATGATGAGCAATTATTTCATGCGGTTGTATCTTAATATACTGCAACCAAAAAATCATATTTTTGCCATTTGTATAACTTTAAATTTTGCACACACATTCGCGTCATCTTCATAATCAATTTTATGAAAAAAAAAAAATCAATTTGCACTCTAGATATGGTAAAAATTAGCACACCCTTAAACAATGAATCTTGACCGTCCATTTAATAAATTTCAAGATCTAGGCCTTGAAAAATTCAAAATTGCTTTTTTCTTTTTTAGCATTGTTAATCTAATGATGATAACACTATATAAAAATTTTAAGAATAAAAAAATCCTTATGAGGCCTATATCTAACCTTCTTACTAAAATGGATGGCTTATATTAATTGGGCTAGAAAAATATTTTTTAGGACGTTTTTTTCTAAATTTTATTTTTTGTGATTATTCTTTAGAATGAAAACAGTATACATCTAAAAAACTTTCGTCAAACAAATGTCTCTAACATGGTTTTTTAATGTGGTTGCATTATATTATGATACAACCATTACATCAAATCATTGCTCAATTCAAAAACATATTTTATTCACTTCAAATAGTGGAATACTTATCTTGCATTTATCCAATCCAATCGTTTTACAACAAGATTTTCAATATTATTATCATCATTTGATTTTTCATTGTTTTTTGCATGTTGACTATTTATGATGAAATAGCATCCACATCATTAATGTTAGTGTTATTTCGTTGTAATACGGGATTGTATCCACATCATTAATGTTAGTGTCGTTATAATATAGGATTGTAACATAATAATAGTACTCTATATTACTACCACAAAATATGTGTATGCAAAATTTGGAGTCATACAAATGCCAAAAACATGGTTTTCTAAAAGTGTGGTCGCATTATACTGTAATACAACCATTGCATGAAATCATTCCTCTTTTGAATTATAAACTAACACTTTCCAATAAACTAGATAAGTCATAAAGGTGAGGTTTGTATAGAGCCAAAGCTCTAACCAATCAAAGTAAAGTCCACCTTTAAATAGTATCGAGAAATGTGGTTTCAATATTGGAAATCTTTGTGATAGCCTTAAAATATATTTTCATCTTTAATTATAAAATTTAAGGCTTCAAAAATAGGGTAGATCGAGTAGATCTTCTTTTTTTTTTTCTCATGTTCATGCATCTTGATGTCAAGATGATCAATTTAAGAATATTTGGGCATCAAAACAATCTCTTCTAATGAAATTTTTGATGTGGCTTTAATTTGATTGTTTAGAGCCTCGGCTCTATATAAACTTTTTCCTAAGTCATAATCATGAGTTTGCTCCTTCAATTTTTATTTTTTTTTACTCTTGAATTTCGACTATTTTGCCTAGTGTTTGTTACTTTATTTTAGTGTGGGTTTAAATCACGTGATCAAAAAACAAAATGCTCTCCATTTTTAGATAAAATTATATACAGATATTTTTTTTTTCGGGAAAGGTTTCTATACTTCCCCTACATCATAGAAGATCTATGTTTCTCCTACCATCCAACCGTCCAATTTTGATCAAAAGAGCCACTCACCGTTTGATCTTAGATCCGACGTCTCAAATTATTTTATTTTTAGTTTTTTTTATACAAATTGTATGAATATGAAATTTGGTTGTGCTATCTTCTCATTGCTGCACACTTATAAAAAATATTAAAAATAATTTTTTGATAAAATAAAATGATCAAAATACCCCTTGAAACTTTCAGAGGTATTTTGGTTATTTTATTTTGTTGGAAATATTGTTCTTATATTTTTCTCTAGTGCGAGTTTAATAGAGAATTGAACGTCTAAAATTTGGTGTCAAAATAGTTTATAAAAAAAATTAAAAATAAAATAGTGTAGAGAGTGACATTGTGATTGGGGCAATCTTAACTCTCCATTCAAAATGGTCAGTTGGATAAGGGGAAGTATATAAGTTTTATGCTGTAGGGGAAGCATAGAAAGCTTGCCCTTTTTTTCACCCTTATATTACGTATGGTTATATTTTACTCAAAAAAAAATGCAACGAACTTTCCACCCTTATATTAAGTAGGTTATATTTTACCCAAAAATTACAACGATGACTTCACCCTTATATTATCATGAGAAATTACGCTAATATGCGTTATTACGGATACACCTTTGAGTTTCCATTATTACCGGGATGTCCATTTTTTCCTTTTCATAACGGCATTTTTTAAAAAAGATGACTTTACCCATTTTTGGGTGTTGAAGAACCGAATTAAAAAAAAGTTGGTTTGTTCAACAACTGAAAACGGGAATAGTTGTTTTAACCTTCCGCGTTGGTTTTGGTTGTTCAACAACCAAAATTAGTGTCTTCGGGTGTTGAACAACCAAAAATCTAATTTCGGTTGTTCAACATCCGAAAATGTGAATTGCTCTCCTTAATAACTGAAATTAGGTTTTTTGGTTGTTCAAAAACCGAAATTTCGATATGTTTTTGAACAATCGAAATGTTGTGGATTTTGGTTTTTGATTAATTGAAAATATTTGGGCCTATTTTTCCTGCGTTTTATTGTAAGAATTATATATATATATATATATATATATATAAAGTTGCTGGAAAACAAGCCTAATACAATATCATACGTGGATCATACCCTTTTCACTTTCCCCCAATATATATATAAAGTTGCTGGAAAACAAGCCAAATACAGTATCATACGTGGATCATACCCTTTTTACTTTCCCCCAATACAGTATCTCACGAGATTGGCTCACGGTCGTGATTGGTACTGTTCTTACTCTTCCCTTATGTTGTTGATTATTTTTTGTTAATTTTCTTACAATTAATAGAGTAGTTTGTTAATTTTGTTACAATTGATTATTTTGAGCAGTTGTTATTTTTGTTGTTTTTTTATTATTTTTATTTTTATAGTAGTACACTATTCCAATTTGTTATGTAATACTCACATTTTATGAACCCTAAAGTAGTTACGAATATCCAAATTTATTGTATTATTTATTGTATCAATTTATTGTAACACAAATTATGCTATTTATTTAATATAGTTGCATTGACGATGCTTACTGAGGGAGTGCAACTGGTATTCCGATACAGGGGTTCATTTGAGACGAATGCAAATGACAAATGTATCTTTTACAAAGGGGGAAATTTGAAGGTTACAAAGTATAACGGAAATAGTTATTTGGAGAAACTAAAAGTCATTTTAGTAATTTAACAATGTATGATCAAAACAAACTAGTTATTATGTACCACAACACAAGTCTTTCTAGTAGGCTTGATTTGATTGATGTTAGTAATGATGTAGATGTATGTTTTATGTTGGGAGGGGAATTTTAAAAACTTGTTGTATATATTGCCTCTACAATGGAGTCAGAACGGGAATCTATTGGTAAAGGTTCATCCTCAATAAATAGGTATATCTACAATTTATGTTTCCATTTGTAATTTGCTTTATTTTATTTTATTATGTATAGAAAATGTTGTTTCATCTTACACTCTATCTTTTGTCAACTGTCGGCATAACACTTTAACTAATCAAGATCAAAACATTCAAGTGGCGCCTAACCCTGAGATTGTACCAAAGCGTGATATGGAGGCTATTGAACCATTAGAGAGCCCATGTAGAGGAGTTCGTATCAAGGTTCAATTGAATATAGGGCAATATTTTGAAAGTATCAATGAATGTCGGCATCATCTTATTGATTTTGCAATCCACAAAAATTTTGTTCTGAAGTTTGCAAAAGTGAATTGGGACGGGTGTGGGCAAGTTGTAAGGCAAAGGGATGCACATGGCGAGTGCAGTGCTTACGAGTTGGCAGTACGTCATACTTCAAAGTGAAATATATGGTTAAGTAGTACACAAGTAGTGGTCCAATGGGGAGGGTCCATCAGCCACTAGCTCGTACTGATTGGGTGGCAAAAAAATTAAAGCCCGTCTTAGTGGCAAACCAAAACTTAAAGCTAAAGACATCATAAAGGATGTCCAACGCGATCAGGGTGTCAAGCTTTCCTATATGCAAGCTTGGTGGGGAAAAGAGGTTGCTAAAGAGATGATGGATGGATCACATGAATAACAATACCATGACCTCCCCCTGTATGCGGAGAAGCTCCGAATAACCAACCCGGGAACCGAACATTGATACAGATGAAAGCAAGTTCAAACGACTATTCATTATTTATCGTCCATGCATCATGGGTTTGTTAATGGATGCAAGCCGCTAATTAGTATTGATGGGACATTTTTAAAATGAAAGTATCAAGGCATATTATTGTGCGCCATTTTCTATAGATGCAAATAATGGACTCTTTTCATTGGCATTTGCAGTGGTCGAGAAGGAGAACTACCAGAGTTGGTATTGGTTCTTAAGTATACTGAGTAAGTTATTAAATGAGTTTTCTAATCTGTCTGCCTTAACAATTATATCAGATCGACAAAAAAGCCTACCAGAAGCAATAGAAAAATGATTTCCCACGTATTTTTCAGCATTCTGCATGCGACATATAGGAGAGAATTTCAAGGGCTTTATGAAAAAGTCAGCAAACACCGAAGTATTGCTGATGTTGTTTTGGAAGGCTGCCAATAAAATGACCATTAGTGGGTTTGAAAAAATTATGTTTGACATACAGTGTGTCGACCCTAAAGTATATGAGTGGATTAAAAATATCCCTCCCAAATATTGGGCAGATGCCTATTTTCCAAGGATAAAATACAATCATCTTACCTCTAATATAGCCGAGTCATTCAATGCTTGGATAATGTCGGCTCGAGAAAAGTCGATCATTATAATGTGTGAAAAAATAAGGGTACAATTGATGATCAGATTTTAAGAGAAGAGGGAGTTAGGTAATAGTTGGAGAGGCCTGCTAGTACCCAAAGCCCAATAATTACTGGACTTGTGAAAGATGAAGGCTAGATTTTTGCACACAGTTATATCAACCATAGATGCATAGCTTAAGGTCCACTATCTTAGAAAGAAGTACGTTGTCGATTAAACTCATTG